AATCATCTCCCTCATTGGCGGACCGGGTGCCCATCCAATTGGATGGGTGCCCCGTTTTGATGGTACTTTGAAAACCAGTTTTTTATTTCTTCTATGGAAATACTCTTTTTTAACTTAATTGTATTGTAAAATAAAATGATAGCAATACACATTTATTTTTATGCCACTTAAATATTCTCCCTTTACCAGAAGTGAAATTATGTACTGTTTAATAAACAAGCAGGAGTTGCCAGTTTATTGACGAACAAAAACTCCAACACTACTAGAATTTGGAACTCAAAGCCATTAGGATTCTTGGAGAAATGGTCGTAAAATTAAGATTTGAGATAAATATGTGCCATACTTATCATGCGCGAAACACTTAACAAAGCACTCTTGTCTTCCCACATTGAATACGCATAAAGTAAAATAGACTACCTGGTGGCTGTTTGACTGTAAATGTTTGACATCCTGCATTGGGCAATGATGAAATGTCAAACTTGAGACATTTGCTAAGGTCATTGGCCTTTGAATCTCATAAAGATATTATACTGACAAATATATAATATAGATAAAGAATACTAACAAGGAGTGTTTTATCAGATATAAAGGTCCATGCGCATGTGACCAAATAGCCTCATTCTATTGGCTTAATAACTCAATAAAAGATTGATCGTAATAGTCATAAAACATGAGTACCCGGTATCGGGACAAAATGTATCGCACAACTGCAAAAAGATTTTCAAATCGATCTTTACCTTGTCAACATCCTCCCATTGAAGTAATGTTCGTTTGAAAATCTTTGCATCATCACAACCATATGCCATAAATCAATCCTCTACCGCCTCGCATTCCCATACATTCTCTACCGCCTCGCATTCCCATACATTCTCTACCGCCTCGCATTCCCATACATTCTCTACCGCCTCGCCTTTCCCATACATTCTCTACCGCCTCACATTCACATACAGTCTCTACCACCATATTCACAGACACCAAGTAAAATTCAGTAAAACGGCGTTAAAAAATACGTCTTCACGTTTAATCGTTTATTTTTAATATTAGAAACGTTTTTCTGTCGAACAATATCAAATCGTAGTTTGTTGCTAACATTATAATAATTTTTCGTGAAAACTTTTTCGGTCCCACATGGCAGCGCCCGTGCCGGAGTTCCAGGTATAGACTTTACAAAAATTTGGAAGGTCTTTAGTACAAGGAAATATTACTTTTAATTTTCTGAATCTTGCTCCGCTTTAATGTCTGCCACTTTCAGAAGTGAT